AAAAAAAAAAAAAAAAAAAATCCTCTGCCCTGCGCATGTGCTCTCTTTCTCTCCATAAAATAAAATAATAATACATGGGGGGCACCTTGGTGGCTCAGTCGGTTAAGTGCCTGACTTTGGCTCAGATCATAATCTCGTGAGTTTGAGCCCCACACCAGGAGCCCACTTCAGATTCTTTTTCCTTTTCTCTCTCTGCCCCTCCCCACTCTCTCAAAATAAATAAAAACAAAAACTTAAAAAAAATAGTAACACTTTGGGGGCTGAACAAAACATGCCAGGTCCCCAGTTTTCCATGTGTTCTTGAGAGTGGGGGAGTGGTCATCCTGGACCCTCATCCTCAAGGCTGATTCTTCCTCCAAAATATCTCTCCGGCGCATATAATCCCCTCATCACCTCCACAACCCTGCCCTAGTTCAGGTCCGGAACCCCTTGCCTCCACCCTGCCCATCTCCCCCTGCTCTCCATACACCTGCCAGGGAGGTGATCCCTGACCTTGCTAAAAACTTTTCATGGCTCTTCAGGACACAGTCAAGGCCCTTGCCCCAATCATGAGACTCTGCAAGTTGGACAAGCTTTCCCTTCCAACCCATGCCTTCCACCTGCAGCCCAGACACGGGGATTCTTGAACTCAACCATGTTTTATTCCTCCAAGCTTTTGCTGTGTTTGCCCTCTTCTCTGCCTTATCCAGTGAGTACCCTCTTTATCCTTTGGGGTTTCCAGTGACTGTTCCTCCTTTGGGAAGATGTCTCTTCTTCTCCAGGAATTCCATTTAGTATAACAACTCCCACTCCGGGGCCCATTGCACCTAGTACTGACTTCCATCATAAATCCAATCTGGTTTACGTGGTGGTCATTTACTTCTTACTCCCCCCCCTCCAGGAGACTGGAGCCCCTTGAGGGCAGGAACAGTTGCTTTAACATCCTCCCGGCCCCCCACAACACACACAGCCTCAGGACATAGTAGGTGCTCAGTGAATATTTGTTGACTGAATGATGACCCAGTGGCTGGAATCCTACGTGCAGCCCATGTTCTGGAGCACGGGGTCAATTCTGCAGTGAGGCCAGGGTTACTTCCATTGCTCACCCCAGCATACCCTTCTTGAGTCTGCCCAGAGTGAAGTCTGGAAACATCTCTAGGCAGATCCTGGAACCTCTTCCCTCCTATCGATAGCCCCCTTACCCCTGCCCACATATTCCCATCAGTGACAGATAAAAGGGGCCAGTGGCCTGGCTTCAGGCAGGGAGACTTGGCCAGGGTTCCCAACTGGCACATCAAGCAGCCTGTGTGGCCCTAGGGAGGCCAGCAGGCAGCAAGACATAGGGAGAAGCAGAGAGGGACACATTTAAGGGTGTCTGTCTGGCTCAGTCAGTAGAACATGTGACTCTTCATCTCAGGGTTGTGAGTTTAAGCCCCACAGCGGGCATGGGGTCTACTTAAAAAAGAGAGAGAGAGAGAGATTTGGACATGAGGCAGGCCCCAGTGTGCCAGCTGGGAGGCCAGAGCCTTGGGGTGTCTGGCAGGCTGAGTTCCCCAGCTCTTTCCAAATTCAGCTTCCTGGATAGCACTGTGGGCTTCTTTGTGTGTCTAAGAGAAGCAGGGCCCCAGGCCTCAGATACCTGGGTGTTAGGGCAGAAGTGGAGGGCCAGAGGGACAATTAATTAGAACACAAATGTATTCTGTGAGCCAGTGTGGCGCTGGAGGCTCTCACAGGCCCTCACGATTCTGCCCAGGGGCCAGAGCATAGAGCACAAGAGGTCTCTGGGAGGATGTGCTGGAGGTGGGTGCAAAGCTAAACCGACCACCTGAAGGCAGGTCACTTCACTTCCACTCTTGGGCCTCAGTTTCCCCACATCCAAGAGAAAGGAGTCAGGACCAGATGCTCTCTAAGCAACACAAGGCTCTGGGTCCAAAAAGCAAAAACCTAAACTTAATGATATGACGAGGGGCTATCATGTCAGAATACTGGAATTGAGGTAGCACTTCATAAGCAGCACCTCATTAATCCTGGCATTACCACCCCCGAGACACTGATAATCACTGTCCCACTTTGCAGACGAACTCATAGGCACATAGGAGTTAAATCACCCACCCATAGCGAGTCCTCAGCTGGTAAGTGGCAGAGACAGAACTTGAACCAGTGGCTTTGGCTGTTAAGTCCAAATGACCAGAAGGGCCCCGCTGCTCTGGGCTCTGCCGTGGCCCTCACCCCTGCTTCTCAGCTATGCCATGGGCATGGCCACCAGGTCAATCATGAAATTTAGGGTTGGAAGGAACCTGAAAGACTGGCCATCTAGAGTGGTCCCCAGCCCACACTATCATCTCACAATGCCTTGGCCATGTCACTTCCGAGTGGTTGTCTGACTCTGTTGGTCACCTCCTGTGGCAGGAAGCACACCCTCTCTTGCGCCAGTCATTCCATCTTTGGGCAGCTGCAATCCATGGAAAGTGCTTCCCTATATAGAGCTGAAACCTGCCTCCCTGAGATCTTTGCCTATCGGCTCTGCTCCTCCCTTGGCTCCCGAAAGGGCTACTCCCCTCTTCTACATATCAGTCCTTCAAATATTTGAAGACATCAGTCATGTTCCCCCCTCCCAAAGCTGTTGTTTCCATAGTAATCGCCACAGGATGAGATTTTAAGCCGCCTTACTCTCCAGCCTGTGCCCTTTCCTGGTCTTTCCTTGGCCCCAGTGCCAAGAGCTACCTCTCTGCAGGGTACCAGAGGTCTCTGGAACAGAATGTTCCCCAGCACTGGGGCAGCCCCAATTCTGCTCACTGACTCCCTGGCTCAGCTGTGGGTTCCAGATCCCAGGAGGGCAGAGAAGCAGGAAGGAACAACATACTACCTGGAGTGGCTGGCAGATGTCAAGGGTTGTGGCTGAAGAGCAGGATGGGGGCACCTCTTCCAAATAGCTTGATGCCTGTCCACTCAGAGACATCTAGTTTGAGTGCCCAAATCTCATTTTGGCTCAGCGTGGCCAGGCACTCCTAGTTCCCAGAGAGGACTTTTTCCTATCTCCCATCAGCTATCTTTTTGGTGCCCCCAGTGTCCCAGGAACCATTGCCTGGCATGGGGAGAAGTTGCCATGTACCCTGGCAAGCTGGCCCCCCTGGATGTTATTCCCTCCTGATGATGCACCAGGAGCCTGTCTGGCTTAGAGCCTGGACCACCAGGCCTGTTCTTCTGAATCCCCTCCCAGAGGCTGGGTTTGGCCAGCCTGCCTCCTCCCCACCTCCCCACATACTGGATGGTCCCTTCTATTCCTCAACTCCCTACAGCATCTCCTTACTTCCCTCCAGCTCCTGAAAGGGCACTAGGCAGCTGGCGGTGGGTGGTGGCGGATGTGGCACAAGCTGACTCAGATGGCAATGTTGGCATGGCAGGGTCTTCCCAGGGATGGCACTAAAGGGGGTGATGGAACCACCCAGCGGTAGGATGGCATGGGGACCCAGAGATGGCAATGGTGACACTAGGAGGGTCACGGAGTAGCTTGAATACAGGGATACGAGCCAACCTTAGGGTGGGAAGGAGACTGGGCTTGGGCTGGCAAGAAATGCCCAGGAGACCCCAAGCACTGATGAATAAGCCTGGAATGCTGGCTTCACTGCCTAATGGGCAGTGTTGTACCTGCTTCAAGCTGAGTTGGGTGGGCCACAACCCTCTTCCTTCCCCCTCCCCAAGCCCTATAGTCTGGAGACCAAAGCTTCTTAGGGACAGGTTGAGGTGGGGGGAGCTAAAGGGGCTGGCGGGGCCCTGAATTCTCTCCCTGCCCACTTCTACCCTCCTGAATACCCCCACCCAGACCGGCAGCCCAGCCTGTATTGTTATAACAGTCCTTCGCAGGGGTGAGATTTAGGGGAGGGGGGGTAAAGGGACAGGGCAAGGTGTGCAATTTCCCTCCCCTCTTGCTCTTGGGATCTCCATGGCTCAGATTCAGAGGTGATAGCACTGGATGGTCCTTGGGCTGGGAGGAGGGAGGTACAGACCTGCCGGGCCCTGACCTCCCCCTGCCCACAGGGCTGAGCTTGCAGCCTGTGGGTTTGCTGAGGCAGCAAGGCCCAGGCTCCTGCCTGCCTTTGGAGAGCTCTTAAGGAGGGGGGCGGGCAGCCAGGCCTCCTGTGGGAAGAAAGGCAGGGCCTGGGAGGCCCCCATACCCTTAGGAAGCAAGCAAGGGAATTGTGTATGTCCGTCTTGAATGACTAGAAGGCAACTGAGAAGGCCAGGGATATTGGAACTCAGGATGGGGCTCAGCTCCCTGGACCCTCTGGGTTTTGTTTTTTTTTAAGCTGTCACAAATGTTACAAACAAAATCCTCCCACCCCCAACACCTCATTCCTTTCCTAGTACAGACCTGGGTCTCTGAGAGGCAGTTAACTCTGTGGTCTGAGAGACCACAGTCTCATTCTCAGGAGGGGGCAGAAGAAGGTCAAGTTGGGATCTGAAGACTTTGACATGGAGACCCAGTGGGTCCCTCTTGTTTAAAGGTGGAACGCTACCTGGGGTATCTCAGCCAGGCCCTACCCTGCCCCTACTCATCTACCCCTGGTCATTTTCTTGATGACCTTGACCTTGAATTAACCTCCTACCCTGAGGGGTGGCCTAGACAGAATTAGGAGCAAGATAGACGCTGGAAAGAGCTCTTGACACCGAAGGAGCCAAAGACCCCACCCATTTTTGGTCTTTAGTGGCCCCGCTCCTCATCTGGACAACAGGAGCAGGTGGGAACAAAACACCAGGGTGCAGAGGAGAGGGAAGGAGGCTTTGGCCTGAAGTCTGGGGAGGGGGCAGAGAGCACCCTTGACACAGTCTCTTTTTCTCTCCCCATCCCCAGCCCGCTCAGTTCATGTTGCTCCCCCGCAGAACTTCTTGCGGGTCAGTGTGAGCACCTAGAACTTGGAGAGGAAGCAGACAGATTAGAGGTGGGGGTTAAATTTAAGTGGTGGCCTCCCCCAATCCCTTCAGCGCCAGGAGTCTGGGCTCCGCCTGCCTTCACTGGGGAATAATTTATTCATTGTGACTCCCGCAGGAGTAACAATCATACATAATTAGGGTTAATTATGACATTCATTAATTACGATGACTTCTCTTTTTGCTTCCACCCACCCTCTCCCCGGCGCCCTGTCCGGCTCCGGGGGTGGGGGGTGGGGCTGCCTGCCCTTCTGCTCTGGAGCCGCAACAACAGTCCCCCGGTCCCCGCCCGCGATGGCCAGCGCTGCGGCAGCCCCCAGCGCGCACTCGGAAGCTACGCACCTCGGGCCGTGGCCTCACATGCCGGAGCCTAACCTGGTTGGGAGGGGGAAATGCAGGACTGCAGTGGGTCCGAAAGACACAACCGGAGAGACTCAGAGATAAACATATAGAGAAAGCGGGAAAGACACCAAGACCGACAAACAGGTTGTAGAGACATTTTCAGAGAGACACAGGCAAAGACAGAGGGACAGACTGAGCTACAGACATAGACCTGCGGGCGCGAGAGGGGTGCGCCTCGCACGCACACACCGGCGCGTACACCGGCCCACACCCGCTACACACCGCTACACGTTCCCGCCGCCTTCGCTGCGCCGATTCCCTCCAACAAAGCCGAGTTACAACCTCCCAGGAGGGTCTCGGCAGCGCGTCCGCTCATCACGCGCGCAAGGGCGTGTCGTGCTTGTGTGATGTGGGCTCCTTGCGGCCCCTCGTCGCGAACCCCCTCGCCCCGGTCGTCGCGCAGAGCTTTCGGCATTACACGGGTCCCGCTGCCGTGACCCCCGGGCCATCCGAGCCCACGGTGGTGACCGCGTCGGGAAATGGGCACCGGGGCTGGGGGGCGCACCGGGCAGGGGTCCAGGCCTCTTCTCCTGAGTTACCTTGGTTTCCTGGAGGGCAGAGACGGTCCCCGGGGGGGTGCGGGTGGCCGCGTCATCCGGTTCGTTCTCCTTCTCGCTCATTTCGGTCATGGTTGGGGTAGAGAGGAAGAGGGGGTGCCAAGACCCGACGGCAGGCCCCCTGGGGGCAGGTGGCAGACGTCTCTCTGGGACCCTCAAGCCCTTTTCCAGAGACTGCCCCCCAGTGAACCCCAGGAAAAATCCGCCCCAGGAAAAAAGCGACCCCCCCACTCCCGGGAGCGGGTGGAGAAAGTTCCCGGGTTGGCCGGTGAAGAGGGGTAATTACGGGGAGCCGCTGGAGCCGGACGACCCCGGGAAGGAGGACCGAGGGTCTGCAGAGGATGCTGCTCGGAGCGAGGGGAGGAGGGAAGTGGGGACGCGGGGATGTGCTGAGGGAGGGAGCGGAGGAGCAGTCCGTGTCCGGCCGGCTCCGCCGTCCTCTGCGCCCGCCCCCCATCCCTCTCCCCCTCCCCCCACCGGCCCCAGCCCGGCACCCGGAGGCCCCTCCGCCCAGTCCTCGCCTTCCAACTTTGATTTAGGAGGTCGCCTGGTCCCTCCCCCTTCCCTCCTAAGCTCCCCCGCGCCGCTATGCAAATCAGGTTCTCAGCTATTGGCTGCCGTGGTGGCCAGGAGCGTGAGATGGGCGGAGCCTGGGGGGGGGCTCGACAAGATGGGGAGGAGCCTGAGGGGTAAAGAAGTGGGGAGGAAGTGGTTTTACACTAAAAGACCCGGAATGGGGGGCGTGACAAAGTGGAGGAAAGATTTGGCAGATCACATTCGAGTCTGGGCGGGATTGAGGGAAACAGAAAAAAGGTTGGATCTGCAGGATAGCTGAGAGTGAGATCGAAGTTAGGACCCTCTGACAGCGAAGTAGTGGACAAATATGGACCCTTCTGCCGCATTAACTGGATGTCTCTGCGAGGGAGACTCCCAATATGCACACCCCTGGACTATGAGGTAGGGGTTCTTTAAGAGAGAAGGGACAATTTAGCATCATGTGTCAAAGGCCAGGCCTGACAATCCCTCCTTTGTGGTTTGGAAAGCAGGACAACCACATTCCTTTCCAGGCTTCCTGTTTGGACTTCAGCAGAGAAGGGGGCTTCAGTCCCCACACCTAGGGTCCCCAAACCTTTCCAAGACACATCCTCCCTCCTAAAGATCCTGCCACAAATGGAGTTAGATCAGGGTGTAGGAAGAAGGGGTAGGGAAGAGGGTTCTTACTCTCCAGGTTGTTCCCTGTCCACTTGGCCTAAAGGTATCTCTTTAATGCTTGTTGCTTACCTGCCATTTTCCTAGTCCTCCTCCCTCACCTCCAGCCCTCTTTCTTCCCGGCCCTTCTGGCCCTGACCAAATCTCCTGGCCTGTCCAAAGAAAGGGAGGTAGTTTGGGGACTGAAGGACTCCTTCCTTAGGTGTGGGTGGAGGAACTTCTGGATCAAAGTCTCCCTCCTCCAGGGGCTCCTCTGCTGTGGGTGATGAGATTGGAGGGGAAGGTGGCACTTGAGAGGGTCCTGCCTTTATGCCAGCCCTGGAGAACAGAGGCTGAGCCCTGTGTCCTCCTTCCTGCCAGCCCCTGCACACAGCCATTCATTCATGCAATCTCTGTCCTCCCAAGAGTGAGCTCACCATTGGGGCACTGCTCAGGTTACTGTGTCCAGGAATAGAGATTTATTTGCCAGTGGCAGAAGTAGGACAAGGGCAGAAGTGAGGGTTGGTGGTTGTGGGGGCTTAGTTCCCTCCCCCTCCAGGTCCACCCACTGCAGCGGCAGACTGACTCTGAGTACAGCCTTCCTGAAAGGAGCTTCAAAAGATCCTGGCCTCAGCCCTCAAGCCAGTCTCCCCAAAGGCCTGTTCACTAACCAGCCTTCCCTCAATCCCTTCTGAAGTGAGGGCTACCATCTTCCCTCCTGCCCAGCCCAGATTAGCCCAACACCCCTACCTGGGCAACTCAGACTTAGGGAGGCTTGAAGCACCCTGAGATAGGATCATCAGGCCCTCAGTCTATCCTGGGCTGGAACAAACAGGGGCCTCTTCTGTACTGAAGACCTCTCGAGGGGAGGTATCCCTGTTTCCCCACCAACAGCAGAGGTTCTGAGTTCCTTAGACTCTAATACCTAGATGATCACTAATTAACCGTGTAACCTTGGGTAGGCAGCTAAACCTTTTAGAGCCTTGATTTCTTCTTCAGCAAAATAGAGATAGTGCCTACCTCACTGTCAGAGTGAATGAGACAGTTCCCCTCAGCCCAGGGAAGACAGGCAGGGAAAGTTATTTTCTTCTTTTCCTCCTTTCTTCCGAGAGATTGGTCCCTTCCCAGTGCTTTTGCTGTTAGTTCATGGAGGAACCAACTCCGAAGGAAAGTCTGACTAGTCAGAGGGAAGAATTTCCAGGGGTATCAGTGCTACCAGCGACCCAGGAAAGCTAGGGAAGTCTGTAGGCCCTGGGTCCCATCTGGTGTAGGCATCAGAAGCCCGAGGTGGGGCAAATGTGGAGGAGGCAGGGGGCTGGATCCCATGACCTCTGGATGTCCTTTCTGGCCTGCGGCCTTCGTGTTTCAGAGCAGTCTTTCATGAACTAAGTCTGAGTCATTGTTTCAGTGCTGACAACTCCCTCTGCAGTGACTGGGGACAGAGCAGGAGTAGCAAGGCTAGCTTCTGGAGAAGAAGGAACATTGTCCCATCTCAGAGTCAGAGGGGCAGCTATGAGGAGTGGGCAGAGCAAGGGGCAAGGTGCTATCGGAGGGTAAGCAGCAGTCACACACAGAGGGAAGGCTCCTTAGGCCAGAAGTCATAAGAGAACTATCGGGAGGGAGCCTCTTAATAGGAGAGCTCCATGAGTAAAAGTGGGTGCGAGGCTCTTGGGAGCCTGAGGACAGAGGGATGGACCAGATGACTCCAAACTGTATGCGGCTCAGTGTTCAGCACACTAAGAAAAGCTGGTTCTCAGGGCACCTGGGTGGCCCAGCGTCTGACTTTGGCTCAGGGCATGATCTTGCGGTTCTTGACTTCAAGCCCTGCATGGGCTCACTACTGTCCGTGTGAAACCTGCTTCGGAGCCTCTGTCCCGCCCCCCCTTCCCCTTCCCCATTGCTCTCTCTCTTAAAAATAAATAAAAACATTTAAAAATAATTTTTAAAAAAGCTTAGAGAAAGAAAGAAAGAAAGAAAGAAAGAAAGAAAGAAAGAAAGAAAGGGCTGGTTCTCATCCTGGTCTGCCCTTTTCTTCCTGTTCTGTGACCTTGAGCAAAGACCTTTCCATCTCTGGAGGGACTTCGGTTTCTTTCTTTTTAGATTGGCAGAATTGGAATAGTTTAGGTTGAAATGGAGACCTGGATTAGAATAGGGGCAATAATTGTATATATCTCTTAGTGTACTTTTGAGGGTTAAATGAGTTAACATACAGGGGCGCCTGGGTGGCTCAGTTGGTTGGGTGTCTGACTGTGGCTCAGGTCATGATCTCGTGGTTTGTGAGTTTGAGCCCCGCGTCGGGCTCTGTGCTGACAGCTCAGAGCCTGGAGCCTGCTTCGGATTCTGTGTCTCCCTCTCTCTCTCTGTCCCTCCCCTGTTCACACTCTGACTCTCTCTCTGTCTTTCAATAATAAATAAATAAATAAATAAATAAATAAATAAATAAATAAATAAATAAGTAAATGAGTTAACATGCATAAAGAGCTGGACAGAGTAAGGGCACAAAAAATAGTTTTTATCTATCAATCTACCTACTTATTTATTTAGGGATACTTGACCTCGAGCCTACAGGTGAGCTTCAGGGAGTTCATGAATGCCTTGAAGCTGTGTAAAATGTTGGCGGATCAGTATTCTCTGGGGGACAGTCTAGAGCTTTCATCTTCTCCTCAGAGAATCTAAAATCCCCAAAAGGTTAAGAACCATTGGCCTGAATGACCCCCAGGGCCCCTCCACTTTAAGCAGTTTGAGATTCTCTGATGGGAGGGATTGCTTCTCCTTCCGTAAGGAATGACCTATTTTCTGCCATGAATACCTTCAGTTCAAGCCCCTCCCTGCTGTGGCCTCTGCCCTTATGAGTTGCCAAGGACAGCCCAAGCCGAAAACATGAGTGGCTGGTCTTTTTCTCCAGCTTTAGAATTGGAGCTCCTAGGGTGGGGAGTCTGTCATGGTTGAGGTCAAGTCTGGTTCTCACTTCCCAGCCGAGGAGAGGAAGAGGGCCCAGCCCAGTGGGGCTGGGGACAAGAAGAACACAGTGAGAGGGCCTGCCTTGCCCAGTCTCCCCTACCTCCCCCTGCTGGCCCACTGGGGCCCCAGAGGCAGATACCGCTCTAATGAGCTAAGGTCCATGGCAGGCATCAGTAATTACGATTTTATGGAAATCTAGAAGGCTCTTACGCAAGTGCCTGACACACTTCCCGGCTGTGGCATCTGGGACAGCCAGGTCCCCAGGGGCTGGAGGAGAGCCCTTCCACCCCCTGCTGCCACCAACCCCTGGAGCTTGGGACACTGGCATAAAGCCTCCCTCCCACTGCCTGTGGCACTGTCCCTAACACATTCTGGGTGAGCTGTTCTCTCGGTCTGTGCCCCAGGCTCCCTGGAGGGAAACAGCATGGACTCTGGTGTGTGCAATCCCTCCTCCCCTCCCCAGCCAAGCTGAGGCTGTCCGGAAGACCTGTTTGGGTTATTTCCCTCTGCTCTATGAAGAAAACCTCTCATTCCTGAAAGATGTCCCCTTCTATTCTGTTTCTTTTCTCCTTGAGGCTCAGGACATAGGGCTGACAGTAGTCACGGGGCCAGAAGTCATAGCCGCTTGCTTCACCTCTCCCCGGGCCCTGTGCCAGTTTGCCACCCCCGCCCCACTTCCTATGCCTCTGATAGTGTCCTAAAGCCACTGCTTTCTTTCTCTAGTCCATTCCCCCTACCCACCCACGAAGCATGTTGTTACCACGGTAACAGCAATATCATCACTTTGGGGTGAGCAAGGGGGTGGAACTCAGTGGACTGGTAGAGGGGGTGCTGTTAGGGGTTAGAAATTTGGAGGGATGAACACTCAAGGGCCCCCAAATTCTTAAGGAGGATCTTTTGCTGGAGAGTGGCCCTGGGCATGG